ACACACACCGTCCTTCAGACCTAAGACCAGAGGGACCCCAACACACACACCGTCCTTCAGACCTAAGACCAGAGGGACCCCAACACACACACCGTACTTCAGACCTAAGACCAGAGGGACCCCAACACACACACTGTCCTTCAGACCTGTGCCCAGAGGGACCCCAAAACACACACGCCTGCCACAGAGCCGGCTGCCAGCACACGACCTGAGTCAGCAGCTGGAAACAGAGTCAGAAACCTGCCACCAGGTCCTCATCTCGTAAAAGCCCTGAGAGAAGGAAAGGCCGGCAGTCTGGCCGCCCTGTAGCCCAGCTCAGCCTCAAGGAAGGGCAGCATGGTGGCGGGTGGCCTGGGCAGCCCTGGCCCTAAGAGAATGGCAGCTGTCACAGTGTGTGCTGGCACCTGTGTGGCCTCTTAGAAGCAAGGGTGGTGGGCCTTCCACCCCTTGATTGTGGACATGCCCCCAGAGTAAAGTGTGCGTGATTGAATAGAAGTATGAGGGGGAGTAAGTGTATGACAGAGTAGAGTTGGGTGCATAAGTGTGTGCATGATGGAGTAAAAGTGTGTGGCGTAGAGTTGTGGGGATGAGTAGAACTGCGTGGTGGAGGAGAAGTGTATGAGGAAGTAGAAATGAAAGATGGAGTAGAAGTGCGTGATGGAGCAGAAGTGCATGATGGAGAAGGGTATGATGGAGTAGAACTGTATGATGGAGTAGAAGTGTATGGTGGAGTAGAAGTGTATGACCGAGTAGAAGTGTATGATGGAGTAGAGGTGCATGATGGAGCAGAAGTGCATGATAGAGTAGAAGTGCATGATAGAGTAGAAGTGCATGATGGAGTGTATGACAGAGTAGAACTGTATGATGGAGTAGAGGTGCGTGATGGAGTAGAGGTGCGTGATGGAGTAGAGGTGCGTGATGGAGTAGAAGTGTATGATGGAGTAGAAGTGTATGATGGAGTAGAGGTGCGTGATGGAGTAGAAGTGTATGATGGAGTAGAAGTGCATGATGGAGTAGAAGTGTATGATGGAGTAGAAGTGTGTGATGGAGTAGAAGTGT